AGTGATAGCTGTTCATTTTTTCAAGTCCCACATGTCTCAGGGCTAAAATGTGGGGTTAGTGCAGTTTTTGTTCTCAGTGCTATTTCCAAAACATTGTGGTTGATCCAAGCAAAATAAATGCTTTGAAAACATCATATTTTCTCTGTTGATAAGAATGTTCTTTATTGGTCCAGTGGTGAGGATTTTTGTCTTCTTTACATTGAGGTGAAGCCAATACTGAAGGCTGTGATCTTTGAGCTTCATCAGTGTTTTAAGTCTTCTTCAATTTCAGCAAGCAAGGTTGTATTATCTGCATATCGCAGATTGTTAATAAATTTTCCTCCAATCCTGATGCCACGTTTTCCTTCATATAATCCAGCTTCTTGGATTATGTGCTCAGTTTACAGATTGAGTAACTATGGTGAAAGAATACAACCCTGTTACACACCTTCCTTAATTTTAAACCATTCAATGTTTCATGTTCGTTTCAAACAACTGCCTCTTGATCTATGCACAGGTTCCTCATGAGCATAGAACATACAATTCAATGTTCTGGAATATTTATACTTTGCAATGTTGTCCATAGATTGTCATGATCCACACAATCGAAAGCCTTTGCATTGTCAATAAAGCATAGATAAACATCTTTCTGACATTCTCTGCTTTCAGTCAAGATCCATCGGACATCAGCAGTGATATCCCTCATTCCACGGCCTCTTCTGAATCCAGCTTGAACCTCTGACAGTTTCTGTCAATGTTTACAGTCGTTTTCGGATTACCTTTAACAAAATTTTACTTGTATGAGATGTTAATGGCATTGAGCAATGATTTACACATTTCATTGAGTCATCTTTCTTAGACTGGGGCACAAATAGGGGTCTCTTCCAGTCAGTTGGCCAGGTAGTTGTTGGCATAGATAAGTGAGTACCTCCAGTGCTTCATCAGTTTGTTGAAGATTTCAATTGGTATTTCATCAATTCCCACAGCCTGTTCTTTATCAATGCCTTCAATGCACCTTGGACTTCTTCCTTCAGGATCATTGACTCTTGATCATATGCTACCTCTTGAAATGGTTGAAAACCAACCATTTCTTTTTGGTACAGTGACTCTGTGTATTTCTTCCATCTTCTTTTGATGCTTCCTGTATCATTAATATTTTGCCCATAGAATCCTTCAATATTGCACATCAAGGCTTGAATTTTTCTTCAGTTCCCTCAGCCTGAGAAATGCTAAGCAAGTTCTTACCTTGTGGTTTACTAACTCCAGGTCTTTACACAGTTTTAAAATGATATTTGACTTTGTCTTCTCAAACTGCTCTTTGAAATTTTATATCTAGCTCTTTTACCACCTCAATTCTTCCATTTGATTTAGCATATCTACACTGGAGAGCAAGTTTCAGAGTCTTCTGACATCCAAAATACACGCGAACAAAATCTCATCATCCTCACTTGTAAGGAGCAATTCTGGCTCTACTTATTCTAACACACATTTGTTCATTCTTCTGAGACTCCACGGCATATTTAATATATTTCACCAAATTCATTCTTCCATATTATTCCTCCATAGTTACCCACAGTGTTGGAGTTTGTTTTCATAGTACCTTAGGGCAAGAGTTAAGAACCCTGGCCTAGTTCTGTTCTGAGATGTAGGTTATTTATTAAATTTTGTTCCCCAAAACCATTTTTTGTAAATACTAACCCCTGTACCTGAGGCTATAATACCATTTGGGGATTTCTTTGTTATTTTAATGAGGTAGTATTAGCATAAGCTATGCCTTGAGTAGATTTGTTTTAAGATATAAGAGATCTGATTAAGCAAGCAATGATGGGGAAGACAGATGCTAAGTCACATGAAGGTCACCAAAGAGTCAAGCAACATAAATTGAAAAGAGACAAGGACTTTTCCTCAGAGCCAATATAAAGAGAAAGACTTCCAGACACAGTGTCCTGAAGTCAAATTTTTAACTTCCTAAATGGTGAGAAAATAAGTTTCTGTTTGCTAAAGTCACGCATTTTTGGTATTTCTGTTTCGATACATGAGATAAGTAAGTCAGAATTGGTAATAGAGAGTGAGATGCAGGTCTAACAAATACTTAAAATGTGGAAGCCCTCTTGGAATTGGATAATGAGCGGAGACTGGCAGAACTTTAAGATGACTGGTAATGAAGTCCTGGTATGGTGCTGTAAGATAAGCACTGGATTGTTGATTGAAAATCAGCGGTTCAAGCCCACCAGCTGCTCCTCAGAAACCTTATACAGGGTCACAATGATTCTGAACTGGTTCCTGTTGGAACTTAACTACAAAACAGTAATAAAACCTTATACCTTGATGTAAAGAAAACAAAACTCCTCACAATTGAAACAATAAATAACACCATGATAAATGAAGAAAAGATTGAAGTTGTCAAAGACTTCATTTTGCTTGAATTCACAGTCAACACCCATTGAAACAGAAGTCAAGAAATCAAAGGATGTATTGCATGAGGCAAATCTGCTGCATACAACGTCTTTAAAGTGTTAAGAGCTAAGATGTCACTTTGAGGACGAAGGTGCCCCTGACCCACGTCATGGTATTTTCAAACAACTCATGTGAAAGTTGAACAATGAATAAGGAAGAACGTAGAACAATTGATGGATTTGAATCATAGTGTTGGCGAAATGCATTGAAAGTATCATCAGAAGAATACACAATAAGGACAATCAGAATGCTCCTTTGAAGAGAGGATGGCAAGACTTTGATGTCAAGAAGGACCAATCCCTGGAGAATAATATCATGATGAAGTGGAGGCTCAATGAAAAGAGGAAGATCTTTAATGCGATGATCTGACACAGTGGCAGCAATAATGCGCTTCAACATAACAATTGTAAGGATGGCGAGGGACCTGGCAATGTTTCATTCCATTGTGCATAGGATTGCTATGAGTCAGAATGGACTCAACAATACCTAACAATAACTACAACAATAATAAAAGCCAAGACTGCCTTGAAGAGAGTGTTGGTAGAATTATGTCAAATACAGTTTTAGTGAGGGCTCAGCAGGCAGTGAGGATAGTTATAAAGAAAATTTGTATCTCCTTAGAGAATACATATGGTACCCTCAGCGGAATGTTGCTATAAATATGGATGGTGTATGTGCTTCTGGTGAGGCTTTGAAATGAAATGATAAACACAAGACTGAACAGTGAAGAAAGGGTGATGCTTTTTATGCAGTAACAAAGAACTTGTCTGAATCACATTCAAACATTTGTTGGAGGGTAGAACTTGTAACTGATAAAGTTGAATATTTTCTATAGGAGATCTCTAAACAAGATCTTAACGCAGCCATGTGTTTTTTCCTTGCTGCTTTTAATAAAATATGAGAGGAAAGAGATGACTTTAAAGCAAAGTATGCAAAATTAAAATGACACTTAAAAGACTTAGAAAATTCTGTTGCACTAACTCAGGACACATATTTTAGAATCTGCATCAACGACATGACTATAGAATCTTTTGTTAAGAAGATTAAGCCTGTGACTGATGGATCTAATTAACTACAACAGCAGAAAACCCATCGAATTAGATAGAAGAGGTGAAGGCCAGGATGAAAGGAAGAAAGTTGTCTACCGCCTTGAGTTCTACAGGCAGAAAACAGGACAAAGGGACTCCATTTGCTGTCATTCAAGAAAAGAAAACTAATCGCTGGAGAAGTTTGAAGATCAGTAGAATGGTTCCAAGGAGTATAGGAAGCAGGCTTCAAAGGGTGGAGCCATGATCTCTGAGGTTTCAAAGAGTCACATCTCACGAACTTGGTTCCATTGTGTAGGACTGCTGTTCAGGTGTGCTAAGAGGATGGGACTACTGCACATAGGGCAGAGACCAAGGGGGTGAAGTTGCCACTCAGATGGATTAGAAGAATGGGCTGCCTAAAGCTGAGAGAGCAGAGTTGCCATCCCAGCTGGACTGAGAGACAGGGCTGAAGCCAAGTGTCAAGGGACCTCTACCCAGAATCCCAGACAGCATGGTCAGTATCCGGAGTCTGGAAAGTAAGGTCATTGCCTAGATAATTCTAGAGAACAGAAGAATATTTTCAAGCTTCAATAGCTAAGAGTTTGTTCTACTGGGTTTTGAGCTTACTTGGTGCCCATTATTCTTTCTTTCCCTCCAATCTCTCCATTTATAATAGAAATGTCTACCTTGCACTTGCTATATACCCTTATATGTTAGAAGCAGAGAACTTGTATTTCACAGATTCATAGATTCACAGATTCACAGATGAAGAAAGATTCTATACCAGAATGGAATATGTCCCAAATCTCAATTATATAAGAGTTAGATGGTTCAAAAGATAATTAGACTTTTGGGATGATATGATGGGGTAATGTGTTCTGTATGTGGCAAAACATAAATTTACTCAACCAAAATATAGGTAGACTATATTAAGATACCCAAATAAAGAATTACTCTTATTACTCTTACTTTTTTATAGCACCTATCCAGAAATAAGCCCTGCTTTCTAGAATAGTCACCAAAATTACCTGATACAACTCCAAATTTTATTAAGTACATTCTCCCAACTGACACCACATAGTTTCCCATGATGTGATTTCTCCCTTGTCACAAATGTCTATCAAGATGGGTTTGACTAGAGGTGTGTGTTCCTAGGTACCAATATGCTAAAATTGACATATAATATTTAATAGTCCATTCTATAATCACAAAATGGAAGATCATATAACACTTAAAGAATAATAATCAACATAATATGAAGAAAAAGGAGAAAGAAAGCAAATAAGAACCATGCAAAAATATGGATAATTCTTCCAAAGTATATAGAATGAAAAAAGAAAGAAAATGATACATACTGAAAAGAAAAGGAAAAAAAAATGACAATAGGAATCCATCCATTTATATTTCGCTCAAAGCTACATTGTTTAGGACACAAAGAACTAATATAGCTCTATAGAAGATTCTACATCAGGAGTCTGTACCCAAAGGGATCAGGTCTCCCCATTTCCTTTCCTTAGCAGCATTTATTCACCATACCTTGAAGGATATTTCAGTTGTCATGGTGAATCCATGTGTGATGACAGGTTCCTCTTCTGCAGTCCGTCCCTTCCAGCAATCCAGCTCCACACAACGACAACCAGACAGAAGCACTTGGCGATACATCTCTACAGAGGAGTTTCCAGCCAACTGGCCAGCTGAAAAACACCAACAAAACAAACTCCTGAATCTCACAAAGCAAGTAAGACAATGAGGCTTTCTAGAAAGTTCTTTACCAATGGGAAAATTAGGAGATTAAGAACTGAGAAAATATTTCTTTTGCCTCAACCTGAATATAATTGTGCCTCCTTAGTAGGGGTTTGGGGAAAGAGAGGGAGCAGATAGAAAGTAGACCAGTATAGTCATAACAATGACTCACATTCATTAACAGCGAGCTGCTAAGCTCACGGTCAGCAGTTCGCAACTACCAGCTGTTCTGCAGGAGAAAGATGAGGCTTTTTGCTCCTGTAAAGATTTACAGCCTCAGAAACCCTGTACAGGGTTGCTATGAGTCAGAAGTGACTCCATAGCACATGACAACAACCACAAAAACAACAACTATAGTCTTGGTGTGGCACTGTTAGTTAATGTGCTGCAAAGTCCACTTGAACTGGGAGGCCTACAGTTCAAGTTCACCAGATGTTCCTTGGAAACTCTATACAGGGTCAGCATGGGTGGAACCCCACTCAACGGTAATTAACAACAACAACGTGGCATTGTAGGATCAGCACTGAACTATGAACCACAGTTCAAACCCACCAGCTACTTTTTATAAACCCTACACAGGGTAGTTATGAGTTGGAATGGACTTGATAGCACTTTAGGATAAGCACTGGAATGCCAAAAGGTTGGTGATTCAAACCTACCAGCCATTCATTGGAAACCCTATACATGGTAGCTGTAAGTCAGAACTGACTCCATGGCACTTTACAACAACAACAATAACAACAGTTAACTGTAAAAGAGACCCTGGGTAGTACCAAAGGTTAAACCTTCAACTACTATCTGAAAGTTGGTGGTTTGAACCCACCTAGAAGTGCCTCAAAAGAAAGTCCTAGACATTTACTTCCAAAAGTTCCCAACTACAGTTCTACTCAGACACACGTGGGTCACCATTACTTGGACCTGCCGCAATAGCAACTAAGAATAACAACAGTGAAGTCATGAGCGTTGTACTGGGACAAGAACAGTGAAGAGAATTGTACTAGTGAAGCACCTGAGAGGTCAGGAATCCACAAGACAGGAGGGTCAATTTACTCTTGATTCATTTGAGAAGTCAATGGAAGAAACTAATTCTAACATGAGTTAATTAAAAAGATTAATGGTGAATAATTTTTGAGACAAGCCCACCATCAACATACAAATTGCAGTCTTTGATTCTCCATACTAATTAATTCTTAAAAATTTAAACTCTCAACAAACCTGTATCATTTAAAAAGAGAAAACAAAACATTTTTTATAGCTAGATAAAAGATGACATGTTGATGAAAATTGTCTTGAGTGTTTTGCAATGGACAACATCAGCCCTAAGGAAATATAAAGAACAAAGAAAATGGGATTAAGTCTACTGGTTTAATTTTATTCCTATATGCATGTCATAATACCCAAACATCAGCATAACAAAAGGACAACAGTTTTTAATTCTATAGAGCCCTAGTGAATGCACCAAAAGGCTGAATAAGTAGGTCTGCATTATCACCTTTCTCCAAGGGAAAAATAGGACATTTTTTAATGCACAAAGGTGTTTGCAAAAGCATAAATGCTGACAAAATAATCTAGAGAGTTACTGATGCTGGATAATCAATTTTCCATTTATAATTGCTACAAAGTTTGTGTCATGACAAAGATTTAAATAAAGGCCTTTGCTGTGTAAACAAAAAGGAGACAGTGAAAGTGAAGAGAAAAGATAGCCATTTATAAATATGCGATTACTAAACTTACAGGAAGGCTACCTTAGCTAAAGGAAGGGAAGAATTAAAATAATTTTAAGGCTAGAGCATTGAAAATGCTTGCTTCCGCAGAAAATTTCTCTGTTATTAAAGAGTAGAGCAAATTTTCTCATGTGTACTACTAGGAAATTGTTTTAAATATATCACTGGCTGATTCCAATACCATAGCATAGTTTGCAATGTCTGAGTCTAGTTCATTAATACTTTATGGACTGTTAACAATTTCAGTACAGTTCTTTCCATAGATTTGTAAACTGGATAGGTTTAATAATGGTGGAGTGAAGTAGGTAAATACCTAAGACACACCAGAGTGCCATATCATAAAAGAGCCCACAGTTTCCAGAAACATTTCTCTAGGTTTTCTTTCAAAAAGATTTCCTGTCATCCAAAACACTGATGGGAGGAATTGGATAGACTTCTTGAGTTCATGTTTTGAAAGGGATTATAAAACATAGGCTTGAGTTTATAAAACACTAAGTGTTATGGATTGAATTATATGTTGCAAACCCTAACCTCTAAACCTATGGTTTCCCTGTATATCATGATGTTATTTATTAATCCAGTTGTGAAGATTTCTGTTTGCTTGTTTTTTGGGTTTTTTGTTTGTTTTTTACACTGACATGCAATTGATATTGAAGGCTGTAGTCTTTGATCTTCATCAGTAAGTATTTGGAATTTACAATATTTGGATCCATAATCAAAACCTATGGAAGTAGCAGTCAAGATATCAAATAAGGCAAAATCTAGTGAAAAAGACTTAAAAGTGGTAAAGAGCAAAGATGTCACTTTGAGGACTAAAGTGCACCTGACTCAAGCCATGGTACTTTCAACCACCTCATATGCATGTAAATGTTGGACATTGAATAAGGAAGACCAGAGAAGAATTGATGAAATTGAATTATGGTGTTGTCAAAGAATATTGAAAGTACCATAGACTGCCAAAAGAACAAACAAATCTTTTTGTTTGTATTGGAAACAGTACAGCCAGAATGATCCTTAGAAGACAGGTTGGCAAGACTCATATACTTTGAACATGTCAGGAAGAACCAGTCCTTGGAAAAGGACATCCTGCTTGGTAAAGTGGAGGGCCAGTGAAAAAGAGGAAGATCCTCAATGAGATGAATTGACACAGTGGCAGCAACAATGGGCTCAAACAGGACCAAGGCCAGGGCCAGGGCCAGGTAGTGTTTCATTCTGTTGTGCAGAGGGTCACTATGAGTCAGAACGGACTCACTGGCGCCTAAAAATAACATATGGGTAAGTCAAAAGGTATTGCTGAAAAAATAAAAGAAATCTTTTCAACAAAAATATCTAAATGTGAACCTATTGATTCTCTAAATAGCCTCTCTCTATGTCTATACATTTTTGAAGGTGGAGTTACCACCTCTCTAATCCTTCCTCTGGAGTCCTGATGTGGAGCTTTAGGATAAACGCTGGACTGCAAAGTCAGTTTGAAGATCAAGGTCAGCAGTTTAAACCCACCAGTCACTACTTGGAAAGCCTATACAGGGTCCTCACTATGGGTCAGAACTGACTCGGCGGCACTTAATACAAAACAACAATCTCTAACTTACATAGGGTCACTATGAGTCAGAACTGATTTGATGGCACTTAACAACAACAACAATAAATAAGTGGGAGAAATGTGAAAACGGGGGTGTCACTCAAGGTCTGAACTAGTGAATGACAGACAAGGTTACTGTCATGCCTCAAACCCCAGGACATATACGCAAGAAGAGGAGTTGAATAATTACTCGATAAATTCAACCAGATCATTTAATTCATCAGATCATTGGGGATAACTGAGCCTTCAAATCTAATTTTTTTCTAAGATGAATAAAGATGTTCATTATCCAGTGAATTACCACTTTGCCTTGCCTGTATAGATGTAACCATTATTTCCCAAATGGTTTGGAGTATGGGAGATTTATGGAGAACTGAAAAAGTATAGGTTGAAATGATTCCACGTTGTTCTCTCCTGAGAGGATTTGGTCGGAAGTCACAAGAGTAGATTCCTCACAGAAAACCAACAATTTAAAACATAATTACTATTTGATGTACTGCCAAGAACATCAAAAACCCTAGGAAAATGTCCATTGTAATTAAAAATCAACTCATTTTGTGCCTATCCTTCTCTCAGACATCTGATTTGGATATCTTGATATTCCACCAAGGAACAATAATGAGTAAAGAAATAGACATAATAATAATGCAATTCTAAATTGATTGGTCATTGTACTGTATATTTAATTTTTACAGTTCCTGTGAGTACTCAAACACAAACATTACAAATATTGAAAATTTCCTCACTTAGATTGCTCAGAATTGCTATTAAAATAAAGAAAGAAAGAAAGGCCAATGGGGAGGAAATTTGGCTATCTTCTTAATAATTATGAAACTCTGAGTTTTTCCGCATATATTAAAAACATATTTTAATCCATTGCCATTGAGTTGATTCCTAATCATAGTCACAGGTGTTTAACTTTGCTTGTAGCTAGCATTTCTTAATAGGAATAGGATATCCTTTTTTCCCCTGTTCTTCCATAATGTTTCTAAAGAGAAAGTTTCCACTTGCTCTGGAAATGGCTTTAACATGTAAATTTAATTCATTTTATTGATTTAAAATTTTAATTCTGTTCTATTATGACTCCTGTGTGATGCTGTAGGATCAACATGGAACTGTGAACCATAAAGTTGACAGTTCAAACCCACCAGATGCTTCCCTAAAACACTGTACAGGGTCATTGAGAAGTAGTCATTCTAGATTTGTATTGTTGTTGGTATAAAGTGCTGTTGAGTTGGTTCCAACCCCTAGTGACCCTGTGTAGGGTTTCCAAGGATGGCTGGTGATTTTGAACCGTTTACTTTATGGTTTAAACCAATCTTGTGGTAGAGTGCTTATCCTACAGTGCCACACCTGGACTCAGATTAGGTATCCATGCAGTGAAAATAAAGATATGAATAATAATACAGGAATTGAGACTGTTTTGACCTATAACTCAAAAGAGGATGTTAAGCAACAATGTAAGAATCTATGTTAGTATTTATATGTAGTATTTTGCTAACTAACTATATGGAATTCCCCTACAAAGGAACCCTGGTAGCATAGTAGATTGCAAGCGGAGCTGCTAACTGCAAGGTCAATACTTTGAATCTTCCAGTTGCTCCATGGGAGAAACAGGAGACTTTCTGGTCCCGTAAAGATTTAC